CAGTATTGTTTTTGGAAGCATTCACCGTAATATCGTATCAACGTTTACTTCACCGCATCATCGTATGAATGATGCGAGAAGAGATTAACGGGTTCTTATGTTAGCGATTTACGTACTCGGCGGTTTCGCTCTCTAAATTACGGCTTGAAAGAGGGGGAGGGGTATGACTACACTCACAAAATTATTATCTTACTAGGAATTTCATATAACAAAAGTTATATACATAACTGTTACGCTTTGTGTAATTCAACAAAACAAACCACACTTAACTCCGAGTTCTCTCCAAATTTCATGAGTCCATTCTAGGCCCCACAGTTTTTTTAAAAAGAGTTTTAAGCACAGAACACATAATTAAAGTTTTAAAAAATTAACCCGTAAAAACAAAGTTTTTCACTATAAATCCTTTATATGCATGGCGGCTAGAGTCCTCTCGTCCTCTGGCGTGAGATGGCTGCCACCTATGGGTCAGATGATTGCCTGCCACCATTAAGCAATTGGTAATTAAATATAATTTATTTTTTCCTAAAAAGTGTAAAATTTTGGAGAAAAAATTTTCACGAAAATAAATTGTCACGCACAACGAGTCTGTGTGCAAAATGTCAGCTCGATTGGATCACGGGAAGTGGGTTAAAAAAACGACCGAAAGATTTGCACGGTCGTAAGCGCGCAAGCAAGCAAGCAAGTGAACTTAATATAAAGGATTTAAAAATCATTAATTATACAAACTTTTCAATAATTTCCTTCTTCACTTCGAGTTAAATTTTCTTTAAAACCTTCTTCTCACCAACATTACCACTCATTACCACTTTCTCCGAAGGCAAGTTTGTAAAAGAATGCATGGTACAGACAGCAGACATCTTGTGTCCGGAGATCAAAAGCAAATTTGAAAAAGTCAGCTTATCACGCAGGACTGTGACTCGCCGTGTGGAACTGATTGATAAAAATATAGCCAGTCAATTAAACAAAGTCTGTTTCCTTTGAATTATATTCACTAGCACTGGATGAAAGTACGGACGTAAAATACACTGCTCAGCTCTAGATTTGAAGCTTTCGTGACTGCAAGGATTCATATTCTTAGGTTTTTTCGGTAAAGTCACCTACGTGACTTTACCGAAAAAACCTAAGAATACTGCTCAGCTCCTCATTTTTATCCGAGGCATTGACAGTTTTGCGATAACAGAGGAGGTTTTGACCATAGAGTCCCTGAAAGGAACAACGCGGGGAGAGGACTTGTATAACCAGGTATCTGCTGTCATCGAAAGAATGACGCTACCTCGGAGTAAACTTGTCAATGTCACAACGGATGGATCGACAAATTTAACTGGAAAAAATGTTGGGCTGCTGAAAAGAATCCAGGATAAAGTGAAAGAGGAAAACCCTGTCCAGGATCTTATTTTCCTTCACTGCATCATCCAACAGGAATCCCTGTGTAAGTCTGTATTGCAGCTTAATCGTGTCGTGAATCCAGTCGTAAAACTTGTGAACTTTATACGAGCAAGGGGACTTCAGCACCATCAGTTTATTACCTTCCTGGAGGAAACTGATGCGGATCATCAGGACTTGCTGTACCACAATCGTGTCCACTAGTTAAGTTTGGGGAAAGTGTTACAACGAGTGTGGGAGCTGAAAGAAGATATCATCGCATTTTTGGAGTTGATGTGGAAATCTGACGAATTCCCTGAGCTAAGCGACAAGAACTGGCTTAGTGACTTTGCGTTTGCTGTGGACATATTTTCACACATGAATGAGCTGAATGTGAAACTGCAGGGGAAAGATCAGTTTATTCACGACATGTACAAACATGTGAAAGCCTTCAAATCCAGCTCACTTTGTTCTCCGGACAAATTGCGAACAAATCTTTTGCTCATTTCGCCACTTGCCATGCAGGAAGAGGCACCGCGAAACGCAAAAAAATACAGCAAATCACTTGAGGACTTGCACGGAGAATTCTGCAGTAGGTTCTCTGATTCAAAAACATTGAACAGTCACTTCAGCTGGTGTCCTGTCCCCTGTCACAAGACCCTGAAACAGCACCACAGGAGCTGCAGTTGGAACTGATAGATCTTCAGCCTGACTCCGTCTTAAAGGAGAAGATCAACTCTGTTAAACTGAATGAATTGTATGCTTCACTTAACAGAGCCACGTTTCCAAACCTCCGGAGGACTGTACAGAAGATACCGACTTTGTTTGGCTTGACTTATGTGTGTGAGCAGACATTCAGCGTCATGAACGCCAACAAAGCCCGTCACAGATCAAAGTTAACGGATCAGCACCTCAGATCTATCCTGAGAATTGCCACAACCAAAATAACTCCAGACTTGGATGCACTGGCAAAAATGGGAGATCAACAACACTGTTCCCACTGAAACTGAAAGTGATGATGTGTTGCTGCAGCGAGGTTGGAGCCAAATCTCCGACACACAGCCTGCGTGGCTGCTCTAACCTGTTAATGTAGATAATAAAGAAGTTCAAGTGAGGTAATTGGTTTGGCGCAGGGCTCAGATGTTTTCATGATGTTTGACCAGTCACGTTACAACATGTTTTTGTATTGTTCATGTTCGTGCAATGTTAAATTGCCTTGCAAATAAATGCTTTGCTACCTGTTAAAGGCCAAATCCTATCATGTAATGATTTTTACATGTAATTTATATTAGTTCACACAAACACTCCATCCACCTGTTCCTGGCCCGGCCCCTCTGTCAAATTTTAGAACCCATTGTGACCCGTGAGTCAAAAAGTTTGCCCACCCCTGCTCTGGACCGTTTTCAACATGCAGCGTATCATCAAAAGTCACGGTGGCGAGATGTTAACTACCTCGCCTGGTATAGAGGAGGTCGTGGGTTCGATCCCGACCCTGACGCTTGTATATTTGGAGTCCACGTGTTCTCCCCGTGGTGTGGATTTTTCTACGGGTCCTCTGGTTTTCCCCTCCACACTTAGAATCATGCGTGTAGGAGTATTTGCCTGCTATACAATTTCACATGACACGACTTCGTTGAGCTATCACACGTAATAGCCAGGTCGCTTCTGAAAAAGAGCTACATAGCTCCTCGGTGGCCCTAACCTGATAAAATTAAATTAGTTAAAAGTAAAAAAAACATCTCTTTGAACCGCTCCCTCAAATGACCCGCAGTGGCATTTCACGTCTACATACAGAGCATGCCTGCTCGGCTGCTGAAGCCCCGCAGCCTGGCCCAACAGTGACACGGGGAGAATCAACTTTTAAGATGCCTTTCACAACCCCGCAGACTCGACAACAAGAATGTGGAGTAGCGCTGCTGACGAGGCACAAAGTGCAGAGACAAGACGGGGGAGAGAGCCTGGCCGGGCATCCAGCAGTGGACAGAGCCCAGCTGATGATGAAATACTTCAAAGTGATCGCTTGCTCAAATGAGCCACATTGAAACATTGTTGATAATTACCTGCTTACAGCACTGCAGTGACAGAGGTGGAAATTCCGTATTCCCATGGCCGGGGTTGCCGACCATCCGGACGACATCCACTCGACTAGGCCTGTCGTCCCCAGAGTGCTCCACATTTCTTTGGGATATACCCCGGGAGGAATGATGGGCCGAGTCAATTCTCAAATCAAGATTTGATCTCGCAACCTCCTATTGCGAGCCACTCGCTCCACCGCAGAGCGGATTAAGAATAGGAAACGTGAACCAGCAGTCGAGAGAGCACGGCTATGAGAGATAGAGGATTCGTCATGGCCTCGGTTGCGTGGACTCGGCCGCACGGTGACCGTGACCTCCCCCATAGAGAGAGATAGGGGGGGGGAGAGAGATGGGGGGGGGAGAGAGATGGGGGGGGGGAGAGATAGTGGGGGGAGAGAGATGGGGGGGGGGGGGAGAGAGATGGGGGGGGAGAGAGATAGGGGGGGGAGAGAGATAGTGGGGGGGGGGGAGAGAGATAGTGGGGGGGGAGAGATAGTAGGGGGGGGGAGATAGTGGGGGGAGAGAGATAGTGAGGGGAGAGAGATAGTGGGGAGAGATAGTGGGGGGAGAGAGATAGTGGGGAGATAGATAGTGGGGGGAGAGAGATAGTGGGGGGGGGGAGAGATAGTGGGGGGGAGAGATAGTGGGGGGGAGAGAAAGTGGGGGGGAGAGAGATAGTGGGGGGAGAGAAATAGTGGGGGGGAGAGAAATAGTGGGGGGGGAGAGAAATAGTGGGGGGGAGAGAAATAGTGGGGGGAGAGAGATAGTGGGGAGAGAGATAGTGGGGGAAGGGGGAGAGAGATAGTGGGGGAAGGGGGAGAGAGATAGTGGGGGGAGAGAGATAGTGGGGGAAGGGGGAGAGAGATAGTGGGGGGAGAGAGATAGTGGGGGAAGGGGGAGAGAGATAGTGGGGGAGAGAGATAGTGGGGGAAGGGGGAGAGAGATAGTGGGGGAGAGAGATAGTGGGGGAAGGGGGAGAGAGATAGTGGGGGGGGGAGATAGTGGGGGGAGAGCATGTCCTTCCTCCGCACCTCCGATTAGCTCCGGTTGGCTACGTCCGGTGCGAAAGAAGTTCAACATACGTGCACATACATGGGGAGAGTGCGACGAGAGAGAGAGAGAGTAAGGAGAGCGGAGAAGGAGAGCATGGAGAGAAGCGTGGGGTTGGCAAGGAGAAATACGCAGCGAGAGCGCAGAGGGAAAAGCGAGGGGTGGGAAGCGATGCGAATCAGTGGCCAGCAGCAGGGAGAGGACGGCGAGAAGAGCGAGCAGGAAGAGGGCAGAGACAGCGGAGAAAGGAGATGGAGAGCAGGGAGAGTGCGTGGACGGAGCAGTGAGAGAGGATGGAGACGAGGGGGCGAGAGAGCAGAAAAGGTCGCTCTCACGCCGGCCGGGTCGCGGTGCAGGCGGCGATAGACGGGGGGGCAGCGGGGCCCCCGACCGCTCCTCTGTGCCTCTCGCTCACTCACCTCCCAAACACCTTTCACTCACCACTCACCTCCCACTCACCACTCACCTCCCACTCACCACTCACCTCCCACTCACCACTCACCTCCCACTCACCACTCACATCTCTCACCTGCGCCTCCTCTCCTTCTCAGCGCGCCGCACGCAGCTCACTGGAGCAGCGCGCGCGGCCGGTTGACGTCATGGGCAGTGACGTCAGCCGCGCCGCGAACCCAGCGGGGGCGGACTTAACCTCGCCACGTGTCCACCACTCACCACGTGCACTCACCCCGCACGTGTCCACTCACCACGTGCACTCACCCCGCACGTGTCCACTCACCACGTGCACTCACCCCGCACGTGTCCACTCACCACGTGCACTCACCCCGCACGTGTCCACTCACCCCGCACGTATCCACTCTCCACGTGTCCACTCACCCACGTGTACTCACTCCTCACGTGTACTCACCATGTTGGTGTGAGATTTGGCGAGTGGGGGACAGCGAGTGCTGCTTGTGTAGAGGTGGCACAGCGCACTGTTGGCATCTCGGCGTATGTCCGATGACACAACAAGGCGGCAGCAGCAGCAGATGTGTCCATATCAACAGCGTGAGTTCACTGCTCAAATTAACATTGCAAAATTGTTGCGAGTGTTCTATTTACAGGCCTAAGGCAGTGGTGGAAATTACACATTTATAAGGCGGGGGCGAGTTTATCTAGACAGGATCCACGGTTGACTTCGTCACAAAGTGGTATATATTTTATGGATATTGATTGATGATGGGCCAAATGACCCCCCACCCCAGCCAGGATGTTAACTCGCAACCTTCAGCTTGCGAGCCGCTCTCACTAGTCACTACCACTCTCGTGCAGTGTTTAACATTCGAAATGGGAAATTCACATCCTTTACTCAGCTTTAGTCCAATATTTATTCAACGATTGCTGAATTTAGTCCGCATGTGTTACATGTTAAACGTTTGACTATTCTGTGTATTTAAAATGACCTGGCGTAACCCCCCGCCCCCCAGGTCGCCTTGAGATAAAGAGGTAATGATTGTCCCGTGCTATTCGACGGGTCGGCTCCATCTCCCGGTGAGGAACAGGCAGAGCGCCATCATCCCGAGCAGGGCCGGATTCAGGCACGAGGCTTTAGGGGCTGCAGCCCAGGGGCCTCCGCCAGCTGGAGGGGGCCTCCAGAGATGAAGTAAAAAGTTATTTCATTTGTGAATGCTGAATTCTATTTGTTGTTAGCCTTGTAAAATACAATTACATTTTTCTTTAACTTTTTTTACTTTTGAAAATATAACTGGGGGCTCACAGTACCCGGAGCCCAGGGGCCTACAATACTTCCGGTTGAGTTGAAGGCGTTGGGGGGCCCACAGTGGGATGTTCCCCGGGCCCCTTCCCCTATGGACGGCCCTCGGGGCAGGAGACTGAGCGATCGCAGTCCTGCTGCAGTGGTGGTCGGCACGCTGCGCTACGACCTCGACCAGCCCGAGTTCGATTCCCGGGCGTGGCCAAGACCTTGACGATGAGGGAAGTGTTTGCAGCACAATTGGTCGCAAGTTCGATATTCAGTTGCTACAGCATTCGCAATTGCACCACCTTGACTTACAGTGGCGGCTCCTGCAAAATCTCTCAGGGGGGGGCAAATGTCTGGATGATTGATAAGGATAAGATCCACCCATGCAATGGATAAATTAACAGCTTAAGCATGTAAAGGCAACTTCACTTCTTTAATATTAATGAAAAATAAAGTGACTCTTACAATACATCTTGTTTGTTTCTATACTCACTATTAATACAATCCACTCAAGTTTCTTTTATTAAAGATTCCACTAGGTGGCGACAAATTATATTGTTGGATGAAACGTGCTTACGTATTATGACGTAAGCACGTTAGGGCGAGCCTTCCCAGAAGCCATAGAGAATGCATTGCAGCGCCCCCCGGTCGAAAAAAAACATCTTTGAATGTAAGTCTATGGGGCCACTCGGGGCGATTCTCAGCCAGAGTGAAATCGGCCAAAAAGAGGCGGTACTCCACAGAACGTGACATGACGCTGATTGGACTATATCCAGAGGCACAGTGACGGCTAGCGTGACTCTGTGGTTGAATGATATTGGTGGTGCGTCGCCCAATCGCCCTAATGAAGAAACCGCCCCTGTTGACTTATAAAACCAACTGTTGTTACGTGAAGCTGGCCAGTTGTGAATTGTTACACAACCGTCACTTTGGCTGTCAATCCTTTAATAAAAATTTTTTTTCACAAATGGAAAGTGAATATCACCTGAACATCGAACTCGCAACCAACTCCACTTGCCGGCCGGCCATGTTCGTGGATTCTGCGCCTTCTGCTGGATTCGCACGGCCTCTGAGACCACCTCCTCCCCTCTCTTCCTCCCCCTGTCGCCTGCCCTCTGCCCGTGTGTCGCCTGCCCCACGGCGAACGACTGCCAGTATGGATTTTCCCAGTCCGGAATTCATAGTCCAAAGTTACAAGTTCACGTCCTGGTCACGGTCGGCTCACGGTATATCTCAACCATCCACTGGGATTAATATAAATAAGCGTGAGAACTCAGCAGGTGCGTGCGTCCTGTGTCCTGCCATAGGAATGTGGAATTTGCATAATCAGGTCAGGGGGCAACAGGGTGGTGCACGCCTGTAATCCAACCCTGGCTCACCAGAAGGCAGGACAGCGAGTTGACTAATCGTTATCTGTACGGGGATAGAGTGTTGCCTCCTTGCGCCCGTGATGATGGGGGGGGGTTCTATGGGTGATCCTCATTCCTTTCACATACGTAAACACTCATCATTAATAAGTTGCCGAAAACACCTTCAAAAACAAAAACCCAATGTGGCAGGGTCCACCTACAAAAAATCCTACGACTCAACGTATCTCTCCTGGATGAATCGGTAACTGCAGTACTAACTGCGCGTTGTGGACACTACTTAGGCCAGGGGTCGGCAACCTACGGCTCCGGAGCCGCATGCGGCTCTTTACGGGCTGCTTCTTGACGATGAGTACGTATGTACTCAGATGCATTGCGGCTCTTGAAATACTGAATTTTGTACCGAATTGGAAAGAAATGGCTCTTTTTGTTATTTTGGTTGCCGACCCCTGACCTAGGCCATCCCGTTGTTGTTGACCATTTGCCCTCGGCAACTCTCGCTGTGCAACGTGGATACAGCCGAAGTGCCGACACATCACCAAAGTCACACGCACCTTTACATACACACCAGCACTCACCACTCGGCAGGCACACTCACCTCTAACGAATGATTCCTGTTAATATGGGTCCCAGTAGATGTAGTGGTCAAGGCGATGGTTGTGGAGGAGGGAGGCCAGGAGAGGCTGCAAATGTAGGAACAAAGATAATGAGACAATAACTTTCTAAATAATGATAATGGTAAGGGTTACGTGGGGAAATGACTGGGCTGGGAAGCAGTGCATTGTGAATATCACCAGCCATCTCTAGCCCAATATAGGCCAGACCACGGGGAAGCGAGGCAGGCCCAGCCTCTACAGCCGCCAAGATGTATGTAGAACTTCTATCGCACCGTACATAGCCAACCGTGCTAATGGGAGGTGCGGGAAGGAGCCCTTCGTTTTATCATGTGGTCCGAGGGTTGCCACCTGTGCTGGTTTCACCAAGGTCGTATTTTTGTTAAGGTAGCTGCTGCCCAGGGAAATCTGGGACGTGAAAAGTCGCAGCTTTTGTCAATGGCACAATAATTACAGACCGCTCAACAAATTTACATGTGGAACTCCTCTCTGCCACTACTCTTGAGAGGTTTCGCTTTCCATGGTCTGTCCCCGAGGTCTTTGTTCAGAGTTTGAAAAACGTGTGGCCCACAGATAACGGCAGAGGACCTGGAGGGGAATTGCACTCTTCTCTCTTCTCCCCCACGAACCCCTCAATAAGATGTGCATAAACATACAAAGATCCCCCGTATAGGGGGGTGGCCAGCACCATGCCCGACCGCCTTTGTCTCCCTAGTGGCAATGTTTACACACCGCACCAGGTACTCATTTGAGGCTGAGTCGACCTAGGGGAGGCCCGGGACCGGTTCAGATAATCGTCACTGGTGTTGGCCGTGAGCGGGAATCAAACCCATATCGCCGGGTTCATAGCGCAGCACGCTAACCGCTACACTATCGCTCCCCACATACACGCGCACACACACATGCAACTGGGCCATATTGACAGCAGCATTACATAAAAACTCGACCCAAGGTTCAGCACGCTGTAAACTCGCCCATTGTGTCATCTCTGTCATCTCTCCATCACGGTGGCGCGGTTCTTGACCGCTGATTGCCGTGTGAACTTCCGCACGAAACTTCTCTACCAACGCGATTTTATGGTGCCGCGGTTATAGGTCGGTTAAACACACTTCGCCATTGTGTTAACTTTGACTCGAGAGGCCAATTTCAAAATGAAAACAATAAACACTGGAAAATCTCGATTTTTTTTTTTATAAATTGCTGGAGCGGTTACCATGTATTGGTGTTTAACATGTTTTTTTACATTCACTATGCGTGTATGTTGAACTTATTTCACACCGTACGTAGCCAACCGTGCTAATTGGAGGTGTATGGGAAGGAAAATAAACTAAACACAAAAAGTAGTTGGAAAGAAACTCGTTTTCAATCTAGATTTAAAAGTGCATAGCTCCAGTGGCTTCCTATTATCGGAAGAGTGTTCCAGATCGCCGCAGAAGCGCATCTGAAAGCACGCGAAGCAGTGACCGTTTTGGTTGCTGGTTAACCAAAAGCCGCTGCAGACGATTGTGATCAATCGACTGATGGATGAAGGCCATTTTAAAAGATCACCATTTACATCCCAGTTACAGTATCACGATGCATGGTACAAAGCAGACAAACGACCTTCTGGAATTCTAGATTTGAAGCTTGCGTGACTGCAATGATTCATATTCTTAGGTTTTTTCGGTAAAGTCACGTAGGTAAAAATTTTAAATTAATAAAAGTAAAATAAAAATGAAATAAAAATCACGACGTTTCGGAGGCAACACAAGCTTCCGTTTTCAGGTGGAACCGTCACAGCACGATAGCTGTATCAAGTGAGAGAAATTCCAAGAACACAGTATTTGTATATATACTGGTTGAGGGTGGGAGG